CTCGGTACATATAAGACACTTCACATTACTTTTCGTTTAATCCTGACAAGTAGAAATCATTGGTTTCAGCCTACAGATAAGGAACTAGGGGTTCCAAAGTCACAGCAAGAAATTGGTGGAACTGCAATTCCCACTCAGGCAGTGGACCCCACACCCAGTGGACCTTGCCCTGGAATGGAGTGACTGTACACCAGACCCAGGCCCACTTACTGTGGTGCCATCCACTGCCACATATACTTTGCTGCGGCTTGAGTACACCTCCACATCCAGGACTCGCCGGGGTCCACTGCCTCTGCGCCGTGGGGGCTCCAGGCGGCCAAGGGTATCATCTATGGGGGTGCAACAAGTCATGGGCATAGTCTCCCCCTTGGGATCTGCCTGCCACTCTTGCCCTGTGATCCCAGGGGTCCCCCCTTCCCCACCCTCAGCCTGGCCCCACCGTAGTCTTGCTCTGGCTCCAGGTCTTCACTAGCTTCGCTGATTGCTCGCCGAGTGTCCAAGATCAACTTGATGTTGACAATGACAGTCACCAGCAGGAAAAGCACGGCCCCTGTCTGAGGGAGAGGCAGGATGAGTGAGGCACATCTCCTCCAGATCATATAGGGTCTTCCTGAAAGGAAGGCCTTGGCAGCAGTGAGGACACAGTTAGAACCTGGGATCCTTCTCTTCCTCTGCCTACTCGTCTCCTGGACCAGAGCCTGGTTTCATTGCCACCTCCTCCAGGAAACCTCACCTGACTCTTTCCCCTTGTCGGGGCCCTCCCTACCCAGTGTTCTTGTGTTCCTCCATTTGAGGTCTTGATTTCCTTGGTCCCCTCCACAATTAGTTCCTGGAGATGGAGTCAGGCCCAGAGAACCAAGTTGGAAATCAAGAGACCTTGATCCTAGCCCTAACTTCTTGACAGGTATATATATGTCCCTGGACAAAGCCTTCCTGATCAGACTTCAGGTTTCTGTCAGAAGCCTAGAAGGTTGGATTTGGGTTCCAATTCCAGAACTCTAGGTCTAAACCACTGCTGGTAGGGGCATGACACATAGAGGTTTCCCCTCTATGAACTTGCTGCTCCTTTCTGGTTGGAGGTGGCTATAATGAAGTATAATAGTCCAGGCTAGGGTAAACCTGGGAGGAACATTTGGGACATCTCTTTACCTGACAAAATCTCCGCAGGGTCCGCTGATTTGTCAGTTTATACTTCCAGGTAAGATACCAGCTTCGCTTCTTCCTAGCCCCAAAGGGCTTGATGAGGGGGCTGGGCTTCCAGTCATCCATACCGGATTTGGGAGTCACCACTGTCCCGGCCAATCCATGACTTCAGGAATCTGAGGGGACCAGAGGGTCACATGGAGTAAGGGTCACATGGAGTAAGGTGCTCCTCCCAAAAGTCTGATGCCTTCTGGAGAAATGAGGATCTCCCAGCAACTCCTCCCTGCAAACATCCATGCTGTGTGACCTGGGGAAAGTGGCTCAACTTCTCTGGGCCTGGCAGGAAAACATTCAGAGGGTTTGGATCACCTGGAAATTCCCTGGGGCTGGGGGAAATATCTCAGTCAGGACTGCTCAGGGCTCCAGGGGTAGAGGCCAAATAATTGACTCTAAAGGTTCATCAGCCTCTAAAAGTCCTTCCCAATCCTCTGGTGGGCAAAGAACAGCGACTTTCCCCGCCCCAATCCTCCACCCTCGTCCCATTCCATCTGGCCCGGTTCTTCTCCCAGGGATCAGAGAGGCCCGAAGGCTCGGGAGACCTGCCCTGGCCGCGTCACCCCTCCTGGACCCCAGCCTAGAGGCACTCACCGCTCAGGGGACCCGGGCCCCGCTCGGGCGCCCTTCGGGCCCGCACGGTTCAGCCCCGCTCACCGCGGCCTCCGCCTCCTCCATGCCGCTCGCGGCCCGGCCCCGCCCCGGCCCGGCCGGCCCGCCCCCCCGCTTCCGCCGCCGCCGCCGCCGCCGCCGCGGGGTGAGAGGGCGGCGGGCGGTGCTTAGGGCGGTGGCCGCAGCCGGGCGTCTGCAGCCTGCGAGGAGGGGTGATGCTCAGACCCTCGTTCGCAGCTCCGCAATCCCGCGAGCCAGTGGGCTGCTGGCCCAGAGCAGCCCGCACCTGGCCTTGCCGAGGGCACCTGATTCCTGTGCGAGTCCCTGCACCTTAGACCAGATAACTCTGCACTCCAGGGTTAGGGGGGCTCTACGGGATCGCACGCTGCAATTACCCAGGCTATTACCCAGGCCTGGGGCATGCACAGCCTTTGGAGCAAAGAGGGATTAAAACCCAGGTTCTACTACTGTTCTGAGCACTTTACTTATATTAACTCATTCAATTCCACGACTCATAAGGTGGGCACTATTACTTCCCCCATCTTAGGTTAAAAAAATGAAGCCCAGTTTCACAAAATTAGGAGAGCTGGAATTGAAACCCAGGCGGTCTAGCTCCGGATTCTGTTCTTAACTACTGCACCATACTGGCTATAGTAATATAGAGTTGTGAAGTTTGAGATAATATACATAAAATGCTTAGTTTAACACAGTGGTTCTCAAACTTCAGCTTGCATCAGAATCACTTAGAGGGGTCCTGGGGTTGTGGCTCAGTGATAGCGCACTTGCCTAGCATGTGTGAGGCAGTGGGTTCGATCTCAGCACCACATATAAATAAGTAAAATAAAGATCCATCAACAACTTAAAAAAAAATCACTTAGAGGGTTTGTTAAAACACAGAAAATTAGTTACTCTCTCATCCCTACAGTTTTAGCTTCATTCTGGGATAGGTTGAGATTTTTTTTTTTTTAACCTTTACTTTATTTATTTGTTTATTTATTTATGTGGTGCAGAGGATCGAACCCAGCGCCTCACATGTGCTAGGAAAGTGCAGGTTGCCCTACCAGACCGGCATATTTTTGCATTTCTAACAAGATTCTAGGTGCTGTTGATACTTGTTTGAAGTGATTGGGAAACCATGGAACCATTTTAGGCAGGAGAGTCAGAGAATCTGATTTATATTTAAAGAGAACCTTTACTGTTTTGTGGAGAATGAATTGAAAGGAGACAGAAAACAGAACACCAGATATTTTTTTGAGCTCTCCCTGTTCCATCTGCCTCCTGCATATTGGTGTGGTACCCCCAAAATATTAACAGTGCTTGTTTTAGGAGTTGAGGCAATAGGTGATTTTTCCTAAAGAGTATGTATTAAAATATAAGAAAACCCAACACATTTTATTAATATTTTTTAAAGTGTCCTTAAATTGGGCGTGGTGGTGCACACTTGTAATCCCAGCTATTCAGGCAGGAGGATGGCAAGTTCAAGGCCGGTTGGTGCAATTTAGTGAGATCCTATAAAAAGGTGGGTGTGTGGGTATATGGGCTGGGGATGTAGCTCTGTGTTAGATCACTTGCCCATTATGTGGCAGGCTCTGGGTGCTCCCAGTGACTGATTAAATAAATGTAATCAGTCACTTAGTCTGGTCAGTCTTATTTCCTAAAGAGTTCTCTATTCTGGTTCAATTCTTCTCCAGCTTCACAACCAGACCCTGGTCCAAGTGGTTAGTTTCTTGTCTTCCAATAAGTTCTTGACTCCAGATTTTTACCACTCCAATCCTTTCTTCTTGCAAAATCCAGAGGAATTTTTCAAAAAGGCAAATATTCTATCTTTTGCTTAAAACTTTTCATAGATCAAAAAAATACTAAGGAAAAATATGTTACAAAGATAAATTACAAAATAAATTACAAAGATAACCATTAGATAAACTAGAAATGATGAAAATAAATAGTGCCAATGTCAGAAGGGAAGTAGAATTAAATCCATATATTCAAATTTATCTCTTTTTTTTCCCCTCTGGTACTGGGGATTGAGTCTTGGGGTGCTCTGCCACTGAGCCACATCTCTACCCTTTTCATTTTGAGACAAGGTCTCACTAAGTTACTGAGACTAGGAGATGGTCTTGCTAAAGTGCTAAGGCTGCTCTTGAACTTGTGATTCTCCTGCCTCAGCCTCTGGAATAGCTATGATTATAGGCTGCACCACCACTCCTGGCATTCATATTTATTTTATAGGAAGTCAGTAGACCGAGTTTAAAATTAAGTAGTGATATAAGTCTGTTACTTAGAATTATGGGTGTAAGCACCAGGAAAAAAATAAAAAAGAAAGCGGTTGCCTCTGAGAAGAGGGAAAAGAGATGGGAAGGGGCAGGCAGGGCAAAGCTCTTTATTTATTCATTTATTTATTTATTTAGAGACAGGACCTCTCACTAAATTGCTGAGAGTCTTCCTAAAATTGCTGTAGCTGTCCTCAGATTGAAGATCCTCCTACCTCAGTCTCTGGAATTGCTGAGATTACAGGCATAGGCCACTTCAGCTGGCAGTAGTTGTCTTTTCATTGTAAATCCTCCTATAACCATGGGCTGGAATGACTTGAATTAAAAGCTGAAACAAAACAAAACAGTTTTTCATGGCTCCTCACTGCCTGTAAAATAAAGTCCAAACACCTTGGTATTCAGGAGTGTGGCACTCAGACCAGGAGGATGGCCATCACCTGGGAGCTTGTTAAAAATGCAGAATCTCAGGCCCAGCCCCAAATTCATAGAATCAATCTGCTTAATATTTATCTAATTAATTAACTATTTTATGTGTTGTCAGAAGTAGAACTGCTGTTCTCAAGTGACCAATCCTACTATCTCAGCCTCAGAGTAGCTGGGATGACAGGGCAGTGCCACAGGACCCAGAAGACCTGCATGTTAACAAGTCGGTAGATGATTCATACTCAGAGTGAAGCTTAGGCAGCATCTTGTTGGTAAGCGGGTGCAGGATGAAACCCTTCAGCTTTAATACAGGTTGCTCTCCACTGGTCTGAATTTTAGCCAATGAAAGGAGTGTGTGTGTGAATGGTTAGCTAAATTCTAACCCCTTTTTAGACCCAGCTCATTTACTCCAGTAAGCTTTCCAGATCTCTATAGCTGTTACCACGATCCTTTAAACTCCTATATCTATTTGAGGTTGTTTAGTCTTAATTCTGCAAACACTTGTTGGGCACCTATTGTGAGCCTAGCTGTACTCAGTGCTAAGGTGAGGAGTAGAGCTGAGCTCTTAGCGCTCCTTAAGGACCAAATCCAAGATCGCCCAGCCCCAGCTATCCAGGGCCAGAGGTTGCGTGCGCAGCACTCGAATATATATCTACCCCCGGCTCCGCGCGGCTTTTCTGAGTGTTACGGCGCCCTCCTCCTCCCGCCCCTGCGCCGCGCGGGCGGGGACCCACCGGTTCCGCTCGGTAATAGCCGGCGGAAAAAGAGGACCCCCGGGAGCGGACCCCGGCGTCTGGCTTCCCAGCCGGGTTCAGGCTTGGGCGCGCATGGAGGGGACCGTGGAGTTCCAGACACCTGACCTGAGAGACGTGGAGGGCAAGGTGGGCAGGAAGACCCCTGAAGGGCTGCTCCGCGGGCTGCGAGGCGAGTGGGAGCCCGGAACCTCTGGCGCGCTGTTGCTCCCGGGGGCGACCAGCAGAAGCCCGGGCCTGGGGGACAAGATCATGGCGCTAAGGATGGAGCTGGTGAGTGGGGACACCACAGGCCAGGAGGACGGAGTCCCTAGGGTCGAGAGGAACCTACTCTCGTCCCCAGAGTTAGACTGGAAAGGAAGGAGTTAAAAACTCAGCACTTAACTCCTCGGGATCCCTCCTAGGTCAGTCCATAAACACTGGGGTGGAGGCAGAGTGACGTCCATTAATTGTCCCCCAAGGATGAGTGGAGTGTTTGATGATCCTGAGAACTGTGGGTAGTTTTTCCTACCAAATTATTTAGGAGAGGAAAGGAAAGGGCTGGGAACTACTCAGAACCTAGCTCTTCAAATTCGGTCCCCTCCCCATAGGGGCCACCTATTCTCCCAGCCCCCATTTAAGGCAACCAGGTATTTTCTCCTCTTACAAACTGGGAAAGGGTTTGGCTCCTTTGAGGCCTGGAGTGTTTGTGAAAATATTCAGCACAGAAGAAATTTGGGTAAGAGGGTATCTCCCCTGCCCTCTTCAGACTGCCTGGACTAGGGCCACTGAAAACATCTCCCTTTCCTTAACATCTCTCCAGCTGCACTTAAAATACTTGAAATTTCTAGGGCCATAGCAGAGAAAGTGCTTCACTTGGACTCAGTTGCCTCCCCTGCAATCTAGGATACTGGATATTTGGATCTCATCTATACCTTCTTGGGAGGAAGAGGAAACACCAGTCCTCCCCTGTCTCCTGGAGTTGCAGGTCTAGATTCAGAGCCAAGAGGGCAGCTGGGGCCCCAGCATGCTCCCCAAGGATCTGGTTCTGGTGAAGGAGGCGTGATTTACACCTGCTACCACTTTGCAGCCAGTTCTGAGGAACTGAAGAATTGCCAGCTGAATCTTGGCCCAGAACCAGGAGTCCAGAGTGAGCCTGTGAGCTAATAAGTCTTCCTGGAGTCCCACTGTGTGCCAGCTCTGCCAAACTGCTCTGGGAGGGAGCAGAGGGAGGAGGTCTTCCCAGAGCTCTCAGATCAGCCAGGACTCTGACCTGCTGGGAGAAAACAAGCTAGGAGATTCTGGTGGGTGGAGCAGTCAGGAGTTCCCTGGGGGCAGGACTTGAATGCCTAGTGTGCACTTGCCCTTGAAGGTTGGAGGTGAGTGCCTGATTCTCCAGAGCTGGACTTGACTGTAACCACCTCAAGGAATGCCCAGCTTTGCCTCATTGTACAAACTTTAGCTCAAGGTCCAGAAAGAGCCTACCTAGTTTGCCCTGCTTTGAAAACTTTTACCAAGTACATATGCTAGGTACTAAGCATCCTGCTGAACCAACCTTCCATGATGATCTCTCTTTATTTTTTGGTACCTGGGGATTGAACACAGGGGCTCTTTACCACTGAGCTACATCCTCCTGCCCTTTTTATTTTGTGACAGGGTCTGTCTAAGTTGCTTAGGGCCTTGCTAAATTGCTGACGCGGGTCTCAAACTTGGAATCATCCTGCCTTGGCCTCCCAAATTGCTATGACACCACTCCCGGCTTTTTATTTATTTATTTATTTTTGCCATACAGGGATTAAACCCAGGGCTTTACATATGCAAGGCAAGTACTCTACTACTGAGCTACATCCCCAACCTATATATTTATAGATGGACACAATACCTTTATTTTATTTGTTTTTAAAAATTTTTTTAGTTGTAGATGACACAATACCTATATTTTGGGCTGGGGATGTGTGGCTCAAGCGGTAGCACGCT